TCGCACTGAGGAGCGACTGCTATATAATCCAGGACAACATGGTACGACACAACACATCGACTGGACATGAAACGAGAGTTGCGGAGTGGCACCGCCGTTCGCTTTTCACTTCTCCCTTTCCTCGTGCCAAACAGACCGACACTATCTATGCTCACTTTAGTGGCACAAACTGCGAGTTCTTGCTCATCATACCCGCACGACCGTGCTTGATGGGCTTGTAGGTGATGGAGAACTCACCCAAGTAGTGGCCGATCATCTCCTTGGCTCATTCTTGACTCATGGAACCAGTGAAGAATATTATACAAAAAAGAAGAAAACGCCTTCAACACACACGTCTGAGATGGCGTACAGGCTTGATCTCCACCGTGATGTACTGCTTGCCGTTGTACACACCCACCACGCTGCCTGAACAGGAAACAAGAAAAGAAAGCAATTAGAAAGCCATAAGCTATTAGCAACTGCATCGCTTCGTTCGTAACAAGTGCCTTACTAACGTTCGGACGCTACGAACCTACCGATCCGTGCATCGCTCCGTGGATCCGTGAAGCACGGACCGAGCGAGCCAACCGCCGAGCCAAGGCGCCAATCATCTCGGGCCTCGGTCGAGCTGGGCCGGCCGCGGACGGATGTGACCACGGTCGGTAGCTGAAATAGCTGGGCTATTTAAGGTGAAGGTATATGGCTAATTTGGCTGAGAAAGACTCAGCTCAAAGATGATGTAATGGCTAGATGGGTTGACAAGGCGAAGATCTTCCGATCGATGAAAGGGGCTAAATGCATTCAACAAAGAAAGCAGCATCCACCTTATTTGCAACTTGTCAAGTGGCTCAAGAATACCCAACAACGGATTCTAGTTCCAGTGGTTCTTAGGGTATCCACCAACCGAAGTTCTCAGTGACCTTTGCTCACCTACTAGTACAAGGGAAGGAATTCATGTGACTATAGAAGATAAATGAAGACAATATAATCTCAAACGAGTAGGAACCGTGCCGGTGGAAGTCCCAGTTGGGTCCTCTTAAGCTCTGCATACTCCACGTCCCGCACCGAAGCGCCGGAGAACACCCAGTGGGAAGGGCCCATGCTCCCAACGGAACACACTAAAACATACTCAAAACAACAACCTGCTAATTAGTAGCCTTTTGTTACTAGTAGTAAGGCCAGGAGCTACTAGTAGCTTCTTGTTACTAGTAGTAAAGTAGTAAGGCCAGGAGCGATTCTGCACATTCTCCTTTACGACAAGCACTTTGGGGATCCCAGGCTGTGTCTGAAGTGGATTTATTACCAGGCCTCCAAGTGGCACGATAACCATATTCCTCAAGTGAGTCTTCACGGCCTCTGGCTTCTCACCATAGGCGGTATCGCGCTTTGCCTCCATCAAGCAGGCATCTTCAAGACTCACTTGCCTTTGTTTTCAGTGAATGGACGCTAAGGGCCGTCCAGAGCTCCAAGAAACCACGTTGGACAGTGTTCCCTTGAATCCCAACTCAACAAGTTTCGATATGTGCCTCGCATGTGCCGAGTTCCTCACACGTGTCTTTTCTAAAAAGCTAAGTAACCGAGACTTAGTGGAGAAACTCCCACGCTTCTCAAACAGCCTCATCAAGGTTTCCTCCACTATAGTCCTATATAGACACTGCATGGACATTAGAATATAGATGAATATAGTTATATAGGCTAGGTATAATTAATTATCTGTGGCTCAAGGCTCAATGATATAAGGAGAAACCGGGAATCAAAGCAGTTCATGTCCAAAGTACCTACACCTTCGAACTTGACCACCCACAGCTCCCAAATGCTCCCAACCCTTCACAGCACAAAACCTGCGATGCGCCCCAAAGCGACCAGGTCAACTCGCAGAGATCCCCACCTTTCGCAGCTTCTTCAGCACGGTGATGGGCCTCTGAGAGGTGTTTTCCCATGCGCCAAGATCCGATCCGAGGCGCCCCAAAACACCAACCGGCGGATCGACGGTGTCTGTGGACCTAAACCAACTGCGCATCGCAGGCTCTTCATCCACATCGAAGGGAATCGCTGGCGGCTTCACCTTCGCTGCGGACTCAACTCCTCGCTGTAGCGGCTTCGCGCCGGACATCGACGGGCGCCCTCGACCGGTCCTGTGGCTCTCGCGAGGCCCAAAGGTCGCGGTGTTTTAGGCATCGAACACGTCCGTGAAACGGAGCAAATCAAGGATGTTCATTGGGGATCATGATGCAAAGGGTTCCCTAGATGTTTTCATATGTTTTCCATGGTTGCAATCCAGTATCTATGCGGATTGCAAAGGGCTGGAAGATCGCATCTGTCAAGAACACCAACATCTCATGTGAAGAAAAGTATTCTCCCTTGGTTGTACAGCAAACGTCACCGTCACGGTAAACCGTTCAAGCACGTCGTGTCAACGTTCCAGCACGTCGTGTTCTCTGCAGATGTCTCAGGAGGTCGACTCCATCACTTGGATTTGCTTTAGGAACCAAGAAAAAGATTGACAAAGTATAAAATATTCCCCAGTTGAAAGGGATTCACCCACGAAAATTGAAACAATCACCTTAAGCAAAAAACATCATCAGCCCTCTTCCACTGAGCCTCCCCGGCGCGCGCTTGATACCGCGGCTGAACTTCCGGCGCTGGCGCGCGCAGAAGAGCTCCATCAAATCCTGGTGGAACACAAAGAGCACGTTGAGCATGGTGGTCCCACACGTTGGCATGGCAGAAAAAAAAACAGATTACACTCCCTGAATCCATGTAACCATGGATGATTTCAAAGAGTGTATGAAAACATCAACACAAACCACTGGTTGCTACCAGCACCTTCACTGCCAGGTCACCAGTCCGCCACTTTCAAGTCCACAAAAGACACCATTTTGGGAGACACATCGTCGGGTGCTGCTAAAAGATTAATCTTCTTTAGCTTGAAGGAGGCGGACCAAAACCCGTGAGGGAGAAGTGAAACACCCAAACCTGGCCGCCAGACCCAACGACAGAGCCGCGAAGCCTTACTTATTCCTTTTCTATTGGACTTTGAGGATTCAAAGAATTGCAAAGAAACCACACGCACTGTTTAATGACGTTGTGGACATATTGCTTCCACAAATCGATCAGTCCATCTACTTTGTAGATCCCCAACAGTCCCAAGACAACTCATGCTGTTGATTGACTTATCCAACCTGAACCACGCTACACTGCACCTTAAGCCTGAGCACACCAATTCCTCCCATTTTTAGCCAAACCCTCTCCATCCATGCTGGTTGCCCCTTCCTGGTTGCTCATGTCCAGGAGTTTGTCAAGGTCCACACCACCTCACATATCGTGAGATTCGATGTGCTCTTTGCGAAATCTTCAGAGGCTGCCAGAGGCTCCATTTGCTATGGCCTGATTTCTGAGATGTCATTGAAAGAGACTAAACATCTGTCAACTCAACTCAACTTGGGCCTGGTTGAACATGTTGGATCAGCTAATGATGCAAGCAAGCATTTGCGAGCACAAGTCGCCTCTGTCTCCAGTCCAAATTGCTGGTAGACTCTTTGGTTTCCTGCAGAGCACATCAACTCAGTCTATTGGTGGATTTGCGAAGATCAAACCCGGAAGAGCTGACCATCAACAGAAATAGACCACAAGGGGTATGGTGGGATCCAGATCTTGATGAAACACCTGACTGGTGAATCGCTGGATGGATGTCTCCGCCCCCCATGTCTCTCCACCCAGAGAAGCCTGAGTTAGACGCTTGGGCACCCGGGCGGTAGGAGTACTTCTTAAAGGTACGCTTTTTGGGAGCCTCGGCACAGGTGTTGACCACCACCCGGCCCCTGTGGTGGAATGGCCCTCGTCAGCTCCGCGTTTTTGTTCGCTCCAGCCTCGCCCTCCGCCATGGTCGGGGATGCGGAAAGGATGAGAAGCGACACTTGAGCCTAGTGCCGAGCCTGGTTAGGTTGAAAGCCAAACAGCACAAACGAGAGCACAGAAAAGACAGACCAAAGCAAGCTAGACCTGTGTGGTGCCAAACAAGCGACCTGGCTGGTGATTGTTAGCTGGTGAAATCGTTGCGACACTTTTGGAACCGTCAATCAGCCGAATAGTTCCTAATACCACTCGGAGTTAGACCACATGGGTCTACTCTTCTCTTCGGATTTCAGGGCGGCCTCCCAAACTACTCCAAACTCACCCGGGCCTGGCCTCCCCGTCGTGTCGCTTGGTGTCCGACGCGTGGCCTCCGCCGCATCTTCTGAGCATGTCAAGAAAACATCTCTAAAGGGTGTATAATATATTCATATTATATATATTATATATATTATATATTATATATATGATATATATATTATGTTATATATATTATATATTATATATGATTATATACATGGGTATTATATAAAATGTGGTATATAGATGCTCGATGTCCGATGTATATATAGGAAAGAATGGGAATGACATGGAATGAAGTGGCTCTCTCGCGATTTGTCTGGCGGATTCCCTCCATTTGAAAGCTCAACATTTGCTGAGTCCAGTAGAGAGAAGAAGGGCCTTTGGCAGCCAGCAAGCTTGCTGGCCGTGAATTTGATACGTGCAGGAAAGCCTTGGCTCCAAAGACTCAACCCTTAAGGTTAAGTCTAGATGTTGATGGGACACCAACCTTGGAAACGGTTGCGGACTTCTGCACATGCCGAACAGGACCAAGTGACCATTTGGTCACACAGCTTCAGCACGGTGCCGGCTCCCAGAGTTGAGTTTTTTGAGACAGGTTCTTTGGAACACTTCTGGATATAGAAAATACTGTACTGGATTATTCTGACTGTAAACCTCAGATTTGAGTTTCAACAGGATTTGGAATGCTTGTGGGCCTGTAGAAGCGACACCAGAAACCTCCCCTTAGAAAGTGAGCAATTGCAACAAAAATGTAACCAAAAGCTTTCCAAAGCATACAACTCCCCTGCAGCCGTCCTGGCTGTGTGTCCATTCAACAAGAGGACTGAGGAGTTCATTGCTTTGCAATCTCACCGATCTAGGATGGTCTAGGCCTGCATCTTATTGTCATCAACCAATTCTGCATGGACAACTTGAGCTTGCACCACCACAGGAGCACCTGGGGTGAAGGTAAAGCTTTGCCCTGGACCAACACCTTCTGGCACGGTGGCAGTTTGAATGCCCGTCGGTGTCTGAACCTGACAAGTACTGACATAATTGAATCGAAATCATCAAAAGCTGATCTCTTTCACAAAAAATAAACAAAAACACATTTGCAAGAGAGATCAAGAGAGCTATGTTCAACAACTGCACCCCTGCCAAAGACTTACACCATCTATATCTGAGTCATTCATGCGCAGTCTGCCGCACCTGAAGCTGTTGCCCTGGAACCACACCAGGAGGAACTGTGATCATGATCGATTGGATGGGTGCTGCACCGGGGATTGGTATGGTCACTGGCCCCATGCTGGTTCTCGGACAGAACACGATGAGCCGTGCGGTCCGAGCATGCTTGGGCTTGCAAAAGCCTGTCCATGCAGTGCGGTACTGCACCTGGATCGCTCCTTGTGTTGCGGTGGTGAGCTCGCTGCAGAGTTGATGAATCTTCTGATCTTCTGCCGTGTTCTTCGTCACCACGATGAGGCGCCCGACCGACACCACCAGTATAGTTGCGAAAGCCACAATGGCGCCGGCAAATTGGGGGAAGGGCGTGTCGTCCATCGTGAGAGGCACAAACCAGATTCCAATCATTGCAGCAAATCCCAGGGGCACTATCATGAAGGGAATCATCTCATTAAAGTATGAGCCCACAATGACAGTCAATTTGCCCACGAAGTCATTCCACCGAGCATCATCGATCATTGACATACAATCAGGTTTCCAGGTCTCGTTGAACTTGGGCCTGGTTTGAAAGCATTCTTGAGGCGATTGCAAGGTAATCATTGAACCACCCGGAGGGACAGACATGTCAACTGAAGGACCCACTCCCATGGCGTTCTTGGGGCCAGCAAACTCACCAGATCTTCACAATCTTGGGCCAAACATGCTGACCGCAAAGACCATGATGTTCAACTGACTAATAGTCTTGCTTGCCTATACTCTTACAAAATCAATGCATGTTCTCTGAAGCCTAACTAGTGATAACAGCCAGCAAGCACTCGTTCCAAATGTTCCCTTCAGTGTTGGCCCGCTGGGGTGGTCAAACATCCTTTGAGCATGCCATGAAGGATCTCACAGAGATTGATGCAGACATGTGATATGCCTGACATCATGTCCTGGTTCTCTGTTGTCTTTTTTTCTGGCGGATCCCCTCCATGTGAAAGCTCAAGTCCTTTGCTGAGTCCAAGAGAAGGGCCTTGGCTCCAAGCGCCGAAAAAGGACCAGCACTGACCAGAATTGGTCACACAGCGGTCTGCCAGAATTACTATGACAAGGACCGGTACTGGAAAGAAGACTGGAAAGAACCTCAAAGTTCTCCAATAACCTCAGAGTTTCAGCAAGCTCAGCTTGCTGATGTGAGTCATTCCGAGAATCGGACCAAATCATCTAAAAGATATCGGCATTCCGCGGCTTCGGAGGTTGAACTTCGGCCTTCTTCGGCCAGCAAGTCGAGGGCAACTGCAAGGTGATCATCGAACCCGGTGAAGTCCAGACTTTGGACCAAAGCCTCGGTGTCGTCTTTCGAGCGCATTCCCACGATGGTGGGAAGAGGTGACGCCATGTCTGCCAGTGGAAGTTAGCACGTGGCGTCACCTCTTCGCCTAACATCGCCTATGGCGCCTGAAGTTTGAGCCCAAAACAACGGCACAAAACAACGATTTCTGTGCCCAAAACAAGCAGAAGGTCCAACACCCCGACATGATGAATCCCACATTCAATACAATTTGAAACATATGGTGAAGGATGGTGAAGGCAACAGGAGGTCAGCGAAATTTGATTCTCTACAGAATCCAATCCTCGGAGGGGGCTAGACACAACCCACCTAAGAACCCACCGGCCGCAAACTGTTGCAGAACAACCCACCGGTCACTCAAAAGCTTCGCTTGCTCTGTGTCGTTGGCCTCGCCTCCCGAGGGAGCCAGACTAACCCAGCTGGCGGCCTTGGTGGAGCACAGTTGCACGAGCACAGTTGCACGAGCACAGTTGCACCACTCAGTTTGGATGTTTGGGGCTTTGGGAGGTGCCTTGGTAGCGCAGCACATGCTTTCGGGGGGTCTCTATAAGCCACTCCGGCTGCCCGGTGCTGTGCTGGTGTAGACACATATTACATCGGGGAGTATATATATATATATATATGGGTGTGATTGGGTGTGGGTTTCAATCGGACTCCCGATCACCCCCTGGCCCTTGACCAGTTTTCGCGTCCAAGAGCAATCTCCTCGACTGTGTGGAACTGCAACGTACTCTTTAAGGTAAAAGGTGTCTTATGGTGTCTTGGTAATGCAGCTCCGTCATGATATTGTGAGAAGGATCATATAATATGAGAATATGAGACTGTTGCAGCCAAGATCATCGTCGTTCCTCTAGCCCCTGTAGCCCTTCCCAATGGTTGAGGATTGACATCCAGGATGGGCACATTAATCTTTTCCCTCTGGTCCGAAAAGAACCCCATCGACAAATCTTGGTAAACGAAACAAATACGACAGAAACACGCATCATTGATCCTTTGAATCATTGATCATTTTGCAAAACTTGTCCATCTCTCTCTTTGGCAAAATGATCCTTGAAACATGATCTATACAAATCTACCTCTCGACTCGGGTCTATTCTAAGAGGTTGTGATCTGGGATGAACCAAGAAGTATCAAGAAGTTCTGCAAGTTTTCTGCTGCAACTAGTTATTCTTCCTCTCTCCCTAGTTCTTTCTTTTTGGCTGGCCGGCCGCACTATTCCTCCGTTCTGGCCCGTTTGCAGCTTGCTACTTGTATCACGTACGCTTGATGTAATTGGCTCCTGCAGCAAGTTGCCGATCCACTTGCCCACAAACCATACGAACCACACCGTGCGCCGCGCGGGTTTTCTGAAACACTGGCTGCTGGGGGCTCGGTACCAGCTTGGCCGGGCCGAGTGGAGTGGCGAAGGGAATTCCCTCAGTTGAGGTCAGGAAAAAGGTCAAAGTGCATGACCAGCGCCGCTTTGTTGAGGCCTCAGGGGACAAAAGGCCGCCGCGTTCTTGTTTGGGGATTGATGAGATCAGGAGATTGATCTGTTTTGTTGCACCAACAGTAAGGATTGTCTCGAGGTTTTTTTCGCTTTGTAGCAACTACAGTAGCAAGATTGAAGAAAGCCTTGCTGATGATCGAGCGAGACAAAGAACAACACCCAGCTGACCCAGCTTTCGCTGATCGTGGAACATCCCAATGACGGACACCTCAGAGAATCCGGGTCGGGGGGCCCAAGGACCATCGCTTTTAGAGTGTTGCTCTGAACCCTTTGACCCTGCCCTGCCCTGTCAACAAACCGGACTCCGCCACCCGGGTCCGTGGACAACCCCGTCCCCAGAGGAAAGTCCGTTTCACCCCAGGCCTCCACCCTAGTAGCAATGGCCTCCGACCTATGAAAGCAATGGCCTCCCACCTGTGAAAGCAATGGCCTCCACCCTAGTAGCAATGGCCTCCACCCTAGTAGCAA